CACATCACAGTTGCTAAACATGGCTAGTTCAAAAGATTTCTTTGGCTTTTTTACATTCTGGCTTTTTTCTTTTCTGCAGAATCTTGCCAAATGTCCTCTGCCTCCACAATTAAAACACCTTTTAATTGTGTATGCCGTCGAAGATAAATTCTCTTCTTCCGGGTGCTTTAATTTACCTAGTTGGTTTCTTTCAAGCTTTGAAGATAATTTCTCTTCTTTATTAGGTTTATCTTCTCTCAGCTGGTCACGTTCACTCCTTCTTCTGGCTTCTTCTAATAGCCTGCCGGTAATCTCAGTTAATGATAAATTATCTTTTGGCAATACTTCTAAAGCAGTCACATAATCATCATAACTTTGATCTAATGAAGACAGTATGATGTATACTTGTTGCAACTCATTAAATATAAGCTCTTTTTCTTGTAATTCCTGAAAAATGCTCTTCATACAATTTAAATGAGTTAACATGTCTCCATTCTTCTGAAGATGTGTTCGAAATAGTTTGCGTGTAAGATATATATGAGCTCCTACACTGTCCCGAACATATATCTTCCTGAGGTTCTCCCAGCAGTTTGCAGCGTTTTCCTCTCCACGGATATGGATAAGTTGCTGGTCAGAGAGAGACAGTCCTATGATGCATAAAGCCTGCTCATTCTTTCGTTTATAGTCTTGTATCTTTTTGTCATCCTCCTCAACATTAGGATCTAAGTTAGTCACATCTGGTGGGTTTGTTATTATGTCCCACAAACCTTCTCTTCGTAGAAGTAAACTACATTTCATTGACCATGAAACATAGTTTGTTCCATCTAGTCTGGATATCATGGACAGATTTGGCAAATTTACTTGTGCCATTGCTCTTCAGGTAAACAACTATTTAAAAATCAATGAAAAACAGTTTGTTTTTACAGTAATGTGCAACTCACACCAACTCTCACTGCTATATCTTGGTTAGTTAGACTGTGCTCACTGGGCCCATAACCAATGTTAGTGTTTGGGGACAAACCCCCAAACAGAATGTGCAGCAGCAGTCAAGCCAGGCAGCCAAATGAGAGAGGAAGGGCCCTAGAGTTTACACACACTGATGACAAAACACTGTTTGTAGTTTAAATAGTTGTTTAATCCAAATTAGAGTTTAAACATTGTCAATCAGTCCATATGTCATTCACAAATATATCCATTCAGTAACTTAGTTCATTTACTAGTCAGTTCTATATCCTTATCTTCTTGTAAAGATATCTTCTCCTCTGATACCTTTCCCTTTGAAGACAACGCTGAGTATTCACAGGATATCAGCACATCAATGAAATAGTCCTTTCGTTCAGGTATTCAAACAGTTGTAGCAAACAGTAGCAAACAAAACAGTAGCAAGCAGATAACAAGCAGAGAGAGATTACGTTTCTCTTACTGCCTTTTATTGCCGTTTGTAACCGCACCCTTAATTAGTTAATTACAAGCAGTTTGGTGCTTAAAGCTACAAGTTACAAACACCCAAACCTTGGTTTATATATTTATTCACCCAAACTTAGTTGGTGTATCATTGTTATACCCAACAGCTTTCCTCTACTTTCCTGATGTGCCTATGGAGCTGGCGTCTCGAACATGGATGGATGGATGGATAGATAGAGACAGAGAGACAGGTAGGTAGGTAGGTAGATATATTGATAGGCAGGCAGGCAGGCAGGCAGGCAAGCAGGCAGGAAGACAGACAGACCTTTTGGATGTATGTATGTATGGATAGATAGATAGACAGACAGACAGACAGGCAGACAGACAGATAGATAAATTGGTAGATATATTGGTAGGTAGGTAGGTAGGAAGATAGATAGATAGATAGATAGATAGATAGATAGATAGATAGATAAATTGGTAGATATATTGGTAGATATATTGGTAGGTAGGTAGGAAGATAGATGTATATATGTATGGATAGGTAGGTAGGTAGACAGACAGACAGACAGAAAGGCAGACAGACAGACCTTTTGGATGGATGGATGGATGGATAGATTGGTAGATAGCTAGGAAGGCTTTGACCACATGCCCAATATCCAGGATCCCACTCAACCAAGCCCGCCCCACTTTGTAGTTGCCATGCCTGACAGCAAGCTCACAGGCTGCCCCTCCCACCAGGGATCAGCCTCCCAAGCACCCCCCACTCCCGGGGCACTGTAGAAGGCGGTGCTGTTTCCTGCTTTCTGGAGCCAGTACAGGGTTGAGGAAGCCCAGGGCAGGCAGTGGTGCAGCATTGGAAAAGTAGAGCGAAGCCGTGCCACCGTCGCTGTGTTCAAGGCGCCGCCCCCACAGGCACATGGGGAAACATTGACTCCAGAGCCGGCGCCTCAATGGGTGAAACTGCAGGGCTGGCCAGCGCCTCGAATGCCCCCTGCCACCTCTTAGCGCTCCTCTGCCAGCCCCCTTGGGGACGCAAAGAGGTGGCAGGGGAGCGGCATGTCAAACGTGGCCGCAGTGGCATGTAACGTGCCACCACTTCCGCATTGGAGGTGCTGGCTCCGGAGCGGTGCTAGTCAATGGGTGAACCTGCAGGGCTGGCACCTCGAATGCCCCCCCCTTGCCTCTTAGTGCCCCCCCAAGGCATCCCACCGCCCCCAGGGGGTGGTACCGCCCATTTTGGGAACCACTACCCTGGACAGAATCTCTTCTGTGTCTCAAAGTCAAGTGCCACAAGTGACTATGCATCTGTATACTCATTTCAAATAACCTTTTGAACCTGATAATTGAAGTCATGTGAATATCCAGCAATACAGTAGCTTCTAGTGTCAGTTGATTCAGGCATGGTGCTTTAATTATAAATGTCTAACTTATCAGCTTTGAAAGCCATATTCCACGCTGCCACATAGCCTGAGAAAGTGGGAGTGGGGTGATTTCAATTGAGTAGTTCAAAGTAGACAAAATGAAATTCTTTTCTTAGTTCAAGGCTATTAAGTGTGGCGCAGCAGAAAAAAAGGATCTTACACTGGGACAGATCGTGGTTGGTCCATGTGATGTGATGATGGGAGAAAAGGGGATGGATTGTAGTTTGGTACATTGTGGGAAGTCTAGAAAACTTTTAGTTTCAAGATTCCACAGATGTGCCAGATGCTATTCTAATAAAGGTACTTTTGAGATTATGCTTGTCTCGGAGTTACTGATTGGAATGGAGGTTTGCTGGAATGCTGACATAACTTTCCTCTCACATATTGCTTTCTGGATGGGACAAACTGGAGAATTATCTGTCCCAATTTATTTGTGATTATCCTAACACTGGTTTTACATTGGTAAACGATTTGAAAGCTGGATTTAGCACTAGAGAGAAGTTCACTATACAAGGTTCTATCAATACAATTAAATTTCATACAATGTTTTTTAGTCAACTAACTCTTAATTAGATTGTTGCTGGATAGGGATCATTTGCCACTGTCTCTTCATGTGGGCCTTAATCCTCTTTTGACCTCTTGGATATTCCCATCCAGGCATGGGACAGTGACACTTGGGTCCAGCTGTTCTTATGCTTAGATGGTCTGAAGAGCCTGCAAGTGAGGCAACTCCTTCTTGTCTTCAATATGTCCCTTGAGCTCCATGGACTCGAAAGATCAAATTCTTCAGAACCCTTAGCAAATATAATGTTATGATATACAACCTCTGGAATTCATTATTAACACATTTGCACCCTGTGAGCTTTTGTCTTAGGCAGAAACCCTAGAATCTAGTCTAAAATTGCATGCAAGCTATGGTAGATCTGATAATAACTTTCAAGTGTTACAAATTCAGTAACTGTCCCATTCAGGAATCAGCTATTTGATCTTAAAAGAGGTTATAAAACCAAAGAAAAAGAATCAATTGTTTTACACATGCTACATACACACTATTAGGAATAACTTTTTCAAGCTACAAAAGATCGAAATGCACCCTTTTTCTGGAAAATAATTTCAAGCACTTCAGTCAACCTGATGGTTCAGCCAGAAGCTAAGATTCTGCCTAAGGTGGAAAGAGTTCAATAACATGCTTCACAAGTTCTCTCCTATTAGCCCTCTGCCTCAACATCTGCTTGCGTACTAAGTTCAGTACTTAGTACACAACATGTCAATCTTTTATTCACAAAATAGCTGTAATATTTAGATTTTAGTATTGTATTTACGCATTTAGAAATACTTATGCTTTTTAATCAATATTTTGTAACATCTTACAACAATTTTACAAAATGTTGATCAGTAACTGGAATAAAGTTGTCTCAATTGATTTGATTGTTTATGATTTAAAAATGAGTGAATGAAAGAAAGTGTGCATTGTGTCTAAAAAAGGAATAAAATATGCATTTGTATCCAACAGAATGAATGGAAGAACAAAAGGAAATGTGAAAGCTGCTTGGAAAAGAGTGAAAAGAATGTTACAACCTGTTACAAAAGCCTGTAGTTTACATAGACATGTTAAAGTTGAATCTTGTGAAGTCGGGATTAGCTATTTTCAGATTAGACAGAACTGTTCGATAAACATGAAACAAGATGAATTCAATACTCAACGGGACAAGAATGACTAGGAGTCCATTAACTTGAAAGAGAAGTAGGAAAGGACTAGACAAATTTGGGCTGACAAATTACTATGCCAAAATTTATATGCTACTTTCTTCACTGATTCTAAGTAGTTTACAACATATGAAATAAAACAATATCATGAAAGCATCCATAAAATCCAATAAATATAAAACAACGTTGCTAAAACTGTAAGTAAATGTGTCTTCAAATAAGCCCAATTGTTCTCTTCAAGAAGACTGCTTTTATAACATTCTGAAATCTTATCAGAAAAATGTACTTAATATTGGTGCACAAGCTGTTGAGGGGCTACCACAGACACTCTACAAGTAAATTCCCTCCTCAGTTCCTTTCCAAGTTTTTAATTTATTTCTTTTAACAATCTTAGAATTAAATTCTATGATAAGAAAATGGAAATAAAGTGTTAGGATTTTCAACATTTTGCAAACTAAGAGATTCTTACATTTCAATCTTCGACAGGTCACTGACAAAGGCTTGAGTTGCACACTGAGACACGGATACATCTGTAAATCTCTCTACTCTGAACTTTGGTTTATTCTTCTTCTGGGATCTAAGGTATGTAATTTATTCCAATACTTCATTGATAAGAGAAAGGCTTACAAACTCATTGTCTGTTATACCTAGATATTTTAAATACTGTTTATTTAATTTAGGGACAGCGTTTTTTTAACAAATATTCATATATTCATTATGCTCAGTTGAAAAAATATTTTTAAAACATCACATTTCTTAGCCAAAACTCTCAGAAATGCATTCACCTCTTGTATGGAAGATAGCTGGATGGAACTCTGATTGATGACAGTGTTGCTTCCTCAAGATGAGTAACACTCCTTATGTCTTCGTTCCCTCTACTTCTATTAAGGTCATTGGATTCAAAGCAACTTGTAGTAAATCCTAAAACTTTATAAAACAAGCTTAAAATAATTGCTACAACCCACCTTTTTCATTCAACTATAATCTATCTTATAAAAGGGCAGGGGAAGAATAGGTCACCAAAGCCTCCCAAATTGTACCACCAAAATTTAGGGACAAAACTGTGTTTTGTTCACTAATACGGACTTGGCATTCACCAGCATCAACCAAAATCCAGGACTTCCAGCAGCCTGTCCACCTGGCCCTTCAAATAGGTTCAGTGGGTAATCAGCAGCCAGCTGAAGGTAGCCTTTTCCTTTTTCTGGTAAAATAGCATTTGTAATTCAAAAGGATTAAGTTATGGGACTATTAGTATAATTTGCTTCCCAATCTGTCCTCTATTACCCAAATAAAGTACCAATGTTCCATCATCAAACTGGAGTGTTACTTCACATGTCATGGTTGTTGGAGGAGAGTATATAATTGCTTTTGCATTAAAAATGCTATTTTACCAGAAAAAATGGGTCATTCCATGAGAAAGGCTACCTTCAGTTGGCTGCTAGTTACCTGCTGAACCTATTCCAAGGGCCAAGTGGCCAGACTGCTGGAGGCCCTGGATTTTGGTTAATGCTAATAAATGCCAAGTCCATATTAGTGAACAAATGGATCTGGCATGTATTATTGAAACCTGGTTCAGCAACTGTAGCAAAATCACCCTTTCTGAAATCTGCTTGCTCACATTTGAGTTTACATCTGCTTTGAATGCCAGGATAAGGGAAAGTTTGGTGGCATTCAGTAGTACTGTGGTGGGCTGTGAATGCCTTTATGTGACATTTGGTAGTACAGACAAGCTAGGAATTCTACTCATGTATCATATGGCTTATGCAAAACAGTCATTTTCTGGCTGTCCAAATCTCATGGCTGGGCTGTTGTTGGAATCTCCCAGCTTCTACTGCCAGGGGACTTCAGTTACCATGTTGTGGAACTTCTGTGCTAGATTTCTAGGATAAACTGGAAATTCATGGCAATCATAGGCTTGAACTAGTTTGCCTTAGGTATGTGTGTTGGGCATGTAATTGGCATTATTCCAGATCTAACCTTTATTAGAGCATCTGTTATATAATTTGAACATAGAGGACCTTATAGAGAGTCCATTGTTCAATTCAAATCACTCCCTGGTTTGTCTGAGGCAAATAATTGTCTGGAATCCATGCTGATTGGGAGGTTCTATTAAATCCCCAGACCCTTTAGGGTTCTCATAAGCATTTGGAGAGTTTTTCTGCTAATTGCAGTCAGTTCTGTCAAGCACCCTGTGACTGCAAGATGAAAACGCTCCTGGGTGGCTTCTCCCCTTCCACAAATCTGGAGAGGATTCTTGGGTGAACAAGGAGCACTGGGAAATAAAAGGGCTGAAGAGACCAGAGCATTAATGGGAAAAGGGTGGAAGTGAACTTGACCAAACCTGTGTATACAGTAAGTGTCCATCTGGAAGTGATTAAGGCAGAGAAGCATTCTTACTTCATCCTTATAGCAACTTTCTTTTTTGGGGGACCGAAAGTTAGCAAGATCTGCCCACAAGCTCTTATGAATATTTGGTCAATGTTTTGCCACAACATGGCTCAAATTTACATAAGTCTTGGCTCTGTATGGGCAGTTTGTATGAACCAGACAGAAGTAGAATCTTGCAAAGTGATCTGGAAATCATTCCATGTGGCAGATTTCAATGAAGAGGATAGGGTGCTGGGCAGCATTAGCTCTGTCACAGATGCTTATCCCTCCTATTATTATCCAGGGGTGAATACTAGAGTATGGTTGCTATTGTTCCATCATAGCGCCTTGATTTTGTATCAGGTGAGCAGTAAGAATATTTTATGAAATTTTATCAGTGTATTATTAGATTAACAGAGTGGAAGTTTAGACAACTTATGTTTGAGCCTACTAAAAATCTTTTCCTTTGTTATTTTTCAGGGAATCCTACTGATGTATGGAATTTATCTTGCAGGTCTAACAGATAATCTCAGTTGCCCACCAGTTAATCAGTCCCTGACACTCATAAGTGCAGTAGCCATTATTTTCCTCTTTATTGGAATCATGCTGGTGGTTAATAGTTTTTTCCACTTGTGGCACAATCTGGTGTATGGATTAACTTCAGGAGGAATCTTTGTCTGTATGTCTTCAATAAACTGTTTGATCTTTATCCCACAGGTAAAAAAGCAGATGAGCTGTATTGCAAATTACTTTCCCCCATGTAAATGGAATTCCTGACATATAAAATGAATATATAAATTAATTAAAATAGGAAGTCTCAGTGATAACTATAGTTTACTTGGCAAGAAAATGCAATTGTATATCCTCAGCTCATAATAAATATGTTCTGCTTTGCATTCCTGTAAACTCATGACAGGACTCTCATCATACTGGGAGTTGCAAATACGGTTTTCTTAGCTGTGCTGTACAATGATTCAAGAACTTATATAGTTGGGTGCCATACCACATATCCTACTTTAGCACTACATAGTTGTAGAATTGTAGAATGATAACAAGAAGAATAATAAAAAATCCTCACACTTTTTAATTTTAATGTTAGAATTTCATTAAAATGTATTTAAAAATTGAAATCTAGGGGAAATGCATTAATTAGGTTAAATCTAATTTTACCATTTTTGAAGTATAATTTCTCCAAAAGTGAAGTATCTCTTTTAGTCAGAAAAAAAATGCAAATACAATTTAAATGAGGAGCAGATAAACTCACACTTTCCCTTTTGTGAGCAACTGCCCTTGACCGTAAGATAGACAAAGCAGAGAAATATGCCAATTGAATCTGACTGTGGATTCATGAGACAGTATTCTTCTGTTCAGGCACCATAGCTTCCACACTGTAAAGGAAATAAGGTTGAAACCAATTTTGCAAAAGCAAAGTTCAGGTCAGCCAAGATATCAATGGCAAAAATGTAGTTTTGCTAACAATAAAAAAATAGTTTAAAACCTGAAATCTGTCCTATGAAATTCATCAGTCATTATTATACAGCACAGCAGTCTGTGCCTCCTTATAATATCAGAATTCCTTGAATGCTACTTGTTGTCCTTTATAAAATGTGACATTACTTGCTTAAGAGCAACTAAATTGCATTGAGCTTTGGCAGCAAGAAGGTTCAGTTTCAAGTCACTGTCAGATAACCTCATGGAAATAGTGAAGTTAGACAGTTGATTTCAATGTAGACATTCATATATTTTAGTGTGGCCTATTTATCTGAATATATCTTACATATTTGGCTCCTGTTGTCTGTAAAATGCAATAAAATTTGGGAGATAGGAGATTGTTTAATATGGGTGAATTCTCAGGTATTTGTAAGCATTTATTTCATATAAGTGGTTCAAACATTTTGTACTCTGTGAAACATTTTGATGCTATAGCTGCCAAGTGACAAAGCTGCTCCATTGCTTTGTTGCCTTCTTTCTTTAAGTAGTGAAAAGGTCTGAAGTAAAATATTTTGTCCCAGAAAAGTGTGTGTGTGTGTGAGAGAGGGGGGGGGGAGAGGGAGGGAGGGGGGGAGACAAAGGAAATGAACCTTGCCTTCCAAATGAAAAGTGTTATGTCCTTGGAACTCTAGGAGTTCTCACTCAGGTCCATTCACTTTGCGGGGGCGTTTTTCCCCCCTCATTCATTGGTTGGTTCTCCCCAGCAGCCAGCTATAAAAGCAGGCTGCGGGGTCCAACCAGTTGCTGATCGCTGCGAGCCAGTTCCAGGCTTGGCAAGCACGGTCAGTCCTTTATTGCTATAATAAAGTATTGTTGCACTCATGCTCTGGTTCAGCCTCTCTTTTCCCAAACTTAACAAAAAGTGTGCATGTATACAAGAGAATGAGATTTACCTATGACAACAAAACAATTCAGCAGTTCAAGACATGCCCTTCCTACCCCCTTTCTCCAATAGCTTTCACTTTTTGCCTACTGTACTGTTTCTAGCTTGATTTTTACTTCTGATTAGGCTGAGCTCTAATTCTATTGTAATGTTCAACAGATCAGACAGTGGAAGACTTTTGAAAAACAAGAAGCTGATACCAGCAACATGGCTAAATATTTTACAGGTTCTAACAAGAATTTCCACTCTACAATGTATAGTGATGAAGAGATATACCAGCTGCTTGGGGAAAAAAACACCATGATGCAGCAGCTTGCAGAGGTGGGAAATATTTACATAATTAGTAAATTAGTCAAAAGAATGAAAATACAGCATCTCATCACTATGCAACCATTCTCACATGCTATATGAACATAGTTAAAGTATCTCATAGAATAAAAACTGAGCTTCAGATCTGAATATAAAATAAAATGGGATAAAAACAAGAAAAAGGATTAAACTACTGATTTAAAAGGTAAAGGTTTCTCTGTCAGTCATGTCTGATTCTAGGGCACAGTGATCATCTGTTTCTTGGCTGAGGAAGCCAATATTGTCAGAAGACCATTTCTGTGGTCATGTGGCCAGCATGGCTATATACCAAAGACTCAGGGAGCGCTGTTACTTTCTCATTGAAGTGATACCTATTTATCTACGTGCATTTGCATGGTTTAGAACTGCTAGGTGGGCAGGAGCCAGGGCAAGTAATGGGAGTGATAAATATTGCAGACTTGTGGGGGAAAACTATTATAGTCCATGATGTGTTTTTTTCCCCTGCCAGACACTTTAGAATGGTAGGAAAAAAGTACAGGTGACTAGGAATCTATATTATTTAAAAACTCTTTGCTATCTAGATGTTTGGAACATCATAAATCATTAAAGAATATGCACACCTCAAAGAGGATATAGATACAAATTGCTGAATAAGAAATTATGCAAGAAGGCAGCTGCTGCACACACTTATCTCTGCATGGAGATGGGCTATATTCATATTTCCCAATATTTAGTGAAGGATAATTTGAGAAGTTAGACTTTTATAGGATTTTTCAATGCATACTGAAAAAATAGTTCATTGATTATCATTCAGGTAGCATGTGAGGAATTCAGCAAATACTCTACCGTCACAGAGTTTTACTCCCATGATGGAAACGGTTTAAATACAACCACTTCTCTGGCAGACATGGCATATAATCAATCCACTGAATTTTTTTTTACCAACTATCTCCACTTAGCAAACAAGATATAAAATCCTTGAAACAAAGGAACTTTTTACAGCAGCATTTCCAAGAATAGAGTCCTAGGTTAAACAGATAGTTCTCCTGAGCAAGTAGAACCATATGCTTTGGCTTCGTTTGGTTGCAACATGTCAGAAGAACACATGAGTAATTTTTAGTGGGGAAAAATCCCCAAAGCCATACAACCTGATCTTACATGTGAGCTTTGTGATGTTCCTATCTTGTGTTTTTTTTAAACGTTTTTTAAAATACTGAAACCAAAGGAGTCATTATCTATGGAGAGTCTGAGTCATCCAGGTCACGGTTGTCCCAAAGCTGCTTTCCTTGAAGATGTTTCGCTTCTCATCCCAGAAGCTTCTTCAGTTCCAATTCTGAACTGAAGGAGCCTCCTGGATGAAAAGTGAAACATTTACAAGGAAAAACAAAGTCCAGTTGCCTTTTGAAAAAGCACTTTTGAGACAATTGAGTAGATAAGTCTTTGTATACATAATCAATGCTTATGTCACTTTAATCAAGCAAATCTAGGTGGCTTATGAAATAAATGAAGCAATTCATAAAGAGGAATCGTAGCCCCACATACTAAGTGGTGATTTCAGCATTTGATCTGCCACTTAAATAATAGAGTCTATTTTGTGGCATTTCAGATTAGGTTCAGATGAAAGGAATACATTTTTCCAGATATTTGAAGACTGATGTTAAAGGGCAAAATTAGAGAGTACCTTGGTACTCAACTGCTTTGAAATTCATCAAATCTGTTTGATGAATGCAAAATGCAAATCAATGCATTTTGACACGAAAATGTTGTCCTAACACTGTTTGGTATTCAACACATAAGCTAGAACTTGTTGATATCAACTGCCTTGTGACTCACTATATGGGAAAAAATTATTTGGTACTCATCACTTTTAGTATTCATCCTGCCTCCCGGAAACCAACTGAGTACCAAGGTACTATTGTATCTTGTTTATAGTTGCATTTCATTAACAAAATAGTGCACACAATATTAGTGCTTTATGTTTTTCAAAGGCCTTTAATATAAAATTGATAAGCAATATTCTGTTTTTCTCCTCCTGTGTTTCTTGTTATGTACATCTATTATGTGTATCAATATTAGCCAACATGGTAATTTTTGTTGAAGTATAACATTTATTATTTATTCTGGTTCATTTTTGCCTAGCAGGCCTATCTTAATTTTTTCAAACATTCATTTTATGTGAAGTATAATTGTGTTTTGGTGCATTTAAATCAAAATATTTATCATAGTTTGTTTAAAACAGAAAGATACAGCAATTGCAAATCTCCAAGAACAAATGAACAGTGTTAAGGAGAAGTTGATGGGACTGGTGGCTACAGAGGATAATCACAGTGTTGCTGGTTCTCCATTTCTTTCAACCTCCCATTTATTGCCTTCTCATTCTACAGCTAATTTTTCTTCAATGGCAAATGAAAATCTACCCTTTTCACTTAGCCAGGAGCTGAAACCATGGCAGAATTCTAAACTCTCAAATTCACAATATGTAGCAGGATTACCTAGTAAAAAAAGGTCTACTGATGACCTAGAACGTACAGATCAAGACAACATATCACTAGACATTACTGCTAAGTGCAAACTAGTGAATAAGCAGCATTCAGGTGCTAAGTATGATGAAGAGCAATGGTTTTCCCAATCCAGCACTGTACTTACTAGAAAGAGGATACATGAACCCAGTTTCAGCACACCGAGCAAAGGAGCAAGGCCACCACATTTTTCAGCACTGAAGCACAAACAAAGCTCTGAAGTAAGTTCTGCGGGCAATAAAAAATTTCAAAAAATCTTGCAGGATCTGAGTGTGAATCACATTGCCACAATGCAACCAACTTCCAGGGGACCCAAATACAATTATGAAAGGAGAATGATGTTGCAACCGAAGAAAATCCCCTTCAACTTTTCTGGTTCCATGGCCTCCAGTATTCAGTGTGGTGTGAATAAATCAGCCAGCAGAATGCAAAGAACGAGCAGATTAATAGAATATCCTCGGTCAGCACCAAGAAGCACTAAGGATGGAGATTGTTTGCATCAGCCTCCACCTTTGCCATCGTTGGTGCTTAAGAACTCACTGCAAATTAAGGCTGACAGTGGGTTTGAGTCTTTATACAATCAAGGCTATGGCTTGCTGCTAGACAATCATCTAGTAGGGAACTGCGCATCTACATTTTATCCCACAAACTTGGGGAATTTTCATTATCAGCATAAAGATTTTCTGACAAGAGCTATTCCAAGCCTGCCTCCCTCCCAGCATTTTTTCTTAGATTCTGGCAGCAGTTCTTCTGGGGAGGGAACCTATTGCCATCAAACACAGGCTTGTGAAGTTTGCCATGGCAGTCTCTCTTCTTCTAGTGACAGCTGCATGATTGACACAGATCCTGAATATAGTATGTTGGATTATGGAAAATTTTACAGCAAAACTAAACAAATTGTGAATTTCAATGAAGATTTGGAACCCACTTATGTATAAAAATAAAATGTGAATTTACTATACATTTCTGTTTTTCAGTAGTAAATGAGAATATCCTCAAAAGCATGGCTTTTCCTGTAAGTTGTTTGAACCTATAAAAATTAGTCACATAGAAGCCCAGGTAACATATTTTCTATAGAATAATACCAATTTCAATTCTGATTTGCTAGACCTCCTCTAAAAAGTTCAGTATCCATCTATCTACTCATTCATTTATTTATTTTTTCTAATGCCTGTGCAAAAGGAAGAAAAGAAACACATTTGTGAGCAAACTCAAATTATTATCAAGGTGTTAATTACCAGAAACCAGCATGATTTATCAAGAAGTCTTTCCAGACTAGTTAAGAGACAGGTATCAAGTGAGCGGCCATAAGGAACATTTCTGGATCTACTTTTCAGTCTTTTGATTGAAGATTTGGGTGAAGGGGCAGAATTATTAAAGTTGCAGATATAAAATTGAAAGGGAGAATTAATATCACGGAAGACTGAAATACAATTCAAAATTACCAGATTCGAGAAATACATTGAAGGCAACAAAATGAAATTTAACAGATGCAAGTAGTGTTCCTCACTTAGGAAACAAAAATCTGGGGACAGGTAAGGAATATCTAGTTTGATTGTGAAAATTATCGTGGAGTAGTAATGTCTTGTAAGCTGGGTATGAGTCATCAGTGTGATATGGCTATATAAAATATAATTACAGGCTGAAGTCTATGTTTAGCACCATAGAAGATCGACATGGAAATAGTGATGTGGTCCCTTTTTTCTCTGCACGAATAACATGTATCCGTGTCGAAAGGATTACTCAGCCAGCTGAGACCATTTGTATGTAATTATTTTTATTTAGTAAGCTTTCCAAATTGCATTACTGAATTATAAATTCTCTTACCTTTTAGCTGTGTTGCTACTCAGAACAACTGATGATAGTAAGAGTACTCTAATCTGACATCTGCATAACAGAGGGAAAATAATGATGTATCTACTTATATATTTGCTAGAAAATTAGTTATGTGGGTTCATAAGTAAATTGGGATACATAATCACATGTTCTGCTAGGAATCCTGTATCCTTGGCAATGGGTCAACTATCTGAATGATAACAATGATGTTAAAAGCCCCCAGATGCTGAATACTTGGCCCAGGCCTAATGACACAGGAAGAAAAGTATTATGCATCTGCTAGCGCAGGTCTGTCAAACTCCAGAGTCCATGGGTCAGATGTGCATGCGCTGGCCATGCCCATGCCCGATTTAGCAAAGGAGAAAAAAGTCCCGATACGTCATGTGACAACGCCGTGAGTTTGACCTCCCTGTGCTAGCTCAAGGGGGTCCATCCTCTGCTGTTTCTTTGGAGTTCCTGTCAAGCTGAAGGGACATGGATTGGTATATTCATTAGAATTTTTTATTATGTTTTTATTTCATAATTCTAGGCAGCAAACATTCTGTTTTCCTCACAACAATCTTGTGAGGTATGTTGGGTTGAGGAAGAGTGATTGATGCAGTCACCCAGCTGGCTTTTCATATTAAGGTGGGATTAGATCTTTGTCTTCTGGTTTCTAGACCAGCACCTTACCTATTTTTTAGTTTTTTTTCTTCATAAGTGTATGTTGTTTATTTTTGTGCTTAATAAACTATCCATTCGATAGAAAATTTCTTTTGTTTGAAGGAAGTTGTTGCATCTCAGAAATACAAAATGCTTGGCTATGAACTAGTGGAAGATCTTCTAAATGGGAAATCTTCCAGTCATGTGAACAGAGAAGACCCTTTGAAAGCTTTTACAGAATCAATACCACCAAAAGGTTTAAAAATCAGGTGAAATTCCCTTAACCACCTTACTTAACAATAGAAATTATTAATTTCCTTCAAGATGAGATCTGTGCATGGAAGGTTTAATTACTTGTTACCTTTCAAGTTTGCATGCACCACTTCCTGTACTTATAAATCTATTGTCTACTGGGACAATACAGAAGCCTTTTCTTTGTCTAAAAGTATTACTTAATGTTTTCCACAACATGTGTCCTGTTGGTTGAACTGATACCCTCAGAGCTTCCATCATTTCCATTCACAGGTTCTCATTTGATTTATTCACTCTCCCACAGTGTATCATCTAAGTCACAGCATGGTCTAAGAAATCAAGTCTATTTACATAGTCTGCATTTGCAGAATTCCTTTTCTTTCTTCCTTGGACTGGAAAAATGGGTGAAAAAGATACCAAGGCCTTCAGAGTTTTGAAATTCTTTCTTCAAAGTCAAAGAAAGAAGGACTATGGTAATAGGGTTGGGGTCTTCTTTGCAGTATCATTATTTGCATGTAAATTAACAGGAAGAGAAATTGCCAGCATACCTGGTAAGTCTTGGAAATAGTTCTGTCACGTCCTAGCTCTAGGCAGACAATGTGCATCACAAGCTAATTGGTCCAATACATTTCTTTTGTTTCCCTGCAGCAGCAAATTGCCAACAACCAAACTTGCACTGTATCTTCCTGTCTTCCATAATATAACTAATCTTGCAGGACTTCTAATGTCTGTCCTTGCTTGTCAGATTCAAGTAAATCATGAATTAAACAATCAGCCACAACAGTATTTGTAAGGCAAGACTTACCCAATTCAGTCTGAATTAAAGCAGATTTGCTACTAGTGAATTGGTTTCAAAAGGTTAAGTCAAGTATTGATAGTAAATAGCAATAGCGCATATCTATGTATGTATGTATGTATGTATGTGTATATGTGTATATATATATATATATATATATATATATATATATATATATATATATATATATATATATATATATATAAAAATATATAAATATATAAATATATAAATATAACTTCAAAATGCTTTACAACCCTCTCTCAGTGGTTTACAAACATCAGCATATTGCCCTAAAAGCTCAGTCCTCATTTTACCAATCTCGGAAGGATGGAAAGCTGAGTCAAATCTTGAACCAGTCAGAATCAAACTCCTGGCAGTCAGCAGAGTTAGCCTGCAATACTGCATTTTAACCACTGCATCACCTAAACATGATGGGAAGGATGAAAAATTCCAGAACAATAGAGCATTTCAATCAGGGTTCCAAGGACAAGGCTGTAATACAGATAAGATGAAGAAAATGATTAAGGAACCAGAAGCAAAATGTAGCCTGAGGCATATGAGTATGGGTTGTAACAAGATGTAGTTCCAGCAGCAATTGAGACATACTAAGCCCTTGCCTAAACATGGCTAATTCCTTCCAGATGTAATTACCTGACATTTCAAGCTACATGTGATTTATGAGCCATGGCACTCATGTGCATTCCTTTCTATCTTCTACCTGAAAACTATCAAAGTGATATGGGATTGAGAAATTCAACATGGTCTCTTGGGAGCAGAGGCAGGAATATTTGAAGCAATCCTTTTAGTGCCCAAACATGACTGCTTTGTTTCTGTCTGTATTCTTTCTGCCTGTCTGAATAACTATAGCCTGTGGCTAATACACAGTGGTTTTGAAGAGATGCTCAAGCATGAAGTGATTTCCACAATGATTCACCAACTTGACCTTCCAACAGTGAACTGGTATGCTGCATGGCTATTTCAACTTATTTTCAGTAGAGTGATGCACCGCAAGGGTAATGGCCACACGGGAAACAATTTTGTTATCCTAGTCCTCTGAAAATTGAGGCCAGATCTTATCATGCCAGAAATGTCCACATCTCTTTACAACCTATTTGGAAATGAGAGACTTTACAGAGAACCATACATCATTTTCATTATTCCTAGCCTGAGGGGAAAGCATGCTTATGGAAGTATTAATCTCTGTTAAATTATGTCATGTTCTTTTTGTGCAATTGCTTCAGGATTGTTATTAATTTGAAAATGAAACAATGGTTTTAGTTCAATCTTATTTGCCTTCATACTGTCTCTGAAACCCAACAATCAGGATTTGTTTGAGGATCACTTAATGGAACAATGGCTGAAGAATCCAAACTATATGATTCTAGCAGATCATTTCATATATAAACCCAAGCTTAAAAATGAGAGAATTGTAGGAGATAAAGGTTAACCCAATCAAATTTGATCTCTTTTTACAATACATTAATTGGTAAGTATAAGGGAGAATTTACCTTCTAGTTTGCCAAGGGCACTAGTGCTGATGATTACAAGATAATACTCTCCAATCTATTAAGTTTATCCATTTAAATTTATTCATTTTCACATCTGGTTAAACTGGCCCTTGTATTATCCTTTCATTCCAATGTAATAATCCTGTTCTTAGGTGTTTGGATCAGGTTGTAGAACAGTGTTTTAATTAACATACCCATTCTCATAAGTTTCTAGGAAGATTATGAAATATTTTGTCGTTTCTATAGGAAGGTGGTAGGTGTTGAGGCCTTAATCTGTGGTTTGGTGATCCCCTTTAAATACAGGTAATCCTCATTTAGTGACAATTAGGATTGTGACTTAGTTATTAAGCAAAGTGGTTGTGAAGTGAAACTGCAACTGTACTTATGACTTACTTAGTTTGTCTTTGCTTTACAGACCTGCGAAGATTGTAAATGTAAGGACTGGTTGCAAAGTTACTTTTTCATCACCATCGTAACTGTGAATGGTCACTCAATGAGGTAGTCACTAAACAAGGACTACTCAAATATGCATTTTTAAAAAAATTATCCCGCATTTATTATTTTTATAAGTAATTCAAAGTGACAAACATACTTAATATTTCTTCCTCCTCCTATTTTCCCCACATCAACATGCCTGGAAGGTTAACACTGAAAGATGAAATCAGGAAAGCAAGGGCTCAGAATGAAAGACTTGCAACAAAAGTCAAAGATAATAAAGTTAAATATTAATAACAAGAAAAAAAATCAAGGAAACAGTAGGTCCATTAAAGAGAGAAGATGCAAGGAAGTAACAGGCAGTAGGGAGAAAGCAGAGCTGCTTAACTCATTCTTTGCATCAGTCTTCACGCAAAAAGAAATTATAACATACACATACATACCGCCCCACAAATGTACAAAGCACAAAGACAGAATTCCATAGTCTAGATATGCACTTTCTTGTGCACCTGAGGAGGAGGTGAGTTCAGTGCTGTAATATGAACAGTGGTGTTCAGCTCTTTTGGTGAGCATTGGTGGGCAGGGAGAGAATCATCAGTCTTCACACAAAAAGAAATTATAGCTCAATGTACCAAAAAATTACTGTAAAAAACAAACTAGAAATAAAAATTAAAATAAGCAAGAAAATGGTAAGAGAACACCTATCTAATCTTGAATATAAATCTTCAGGACCTGACAGATTATATCCCAGAGTTCTGAAGGAGCTGGCAGATGCCATCAGAACCATTGTACTATATCTTTCAAAAACCCTGGAGCGTTGGAGAAGTACTTAAGGATTCGAAAAGGGCTGATGTGGTTCCCATCTTCAAGAAAGGAAAAAACAGACCCAGGAAACTACAGACCAATCAGTCTAACATCAATACCTGGGAAGATTCTGGAAAAGATAATCAAGAAACAGATCTACAAATAACTAGAAGCAAATAAAAGTTATAACTAGCAGCCAGCATGGGCTTGTTAAAACTGATCATGCCAAACCAATCTTATTTTATTCTTTGATGAAGTGACCAAATTAGTAGATCAGCGAAATGCTGTGGACATAGTATACTTAGATTTCAGCAAGGCATTTGACAAAGTAGACAACAACCTACTTTTGGTAAGCTAGAAAAATGTGGAATAGACAAGATCACCATCAGATGGATTTGTAGATGGCTGATAAACCTTACTCAATGAGTACCTAATGGTACTATATCCACATGGAGAGGAGTAAGCTAGCAGAGGCACCATGGGCCTGTCCTTCACTGTTTCCAGGGCAGCCCCATGGGCCAGATCTAAGCACCTTACATGCCGGATCCTGCCTGCAGGCCTTGAGTTTGACATCCCTGAACTAAGATGATCAAAGGCCCGGAGACTAAAAGATATGAAGAATGGCTGCAGAATTGGGGTCTTGGCTAGTCTAAAGAAAAAAAGAATTGGGGGGACATGATAGCAGTATTTCAGTATTTGAGAGACTGCCACAAAGAAGAGGGGGTCAAATTATTCTAATTTGTTAGAATTAGTGTTAGCACCAGAGGACAGGAAACAAGAAATAGAGGATGGAAACTACCCAAAGAGAGAAGCAACCTGGAATTAAGGAGAAACTTCCTAACAGTGAGGACAATTAACTAGCTTGCTTTCAGAAATTGTGGGTGCCCATGGGGTTTTTTAAGATACTAGGCAGTCACTTATCTGAAATACAGGTGAAACTCAAAAAATTAAAATATCGTGCAAAAGTTCATTTATTTCAGTGATGCAACTTAAAAGGTGAATTTAATATATGAGATAGACTCATTACACGCAAAGCAAGATAATTCAAGCTGTGATGTGTCATAATTGAGACGATTATGGCTTACAGCTCATGAAAACTCCAAATCCACAATCTCAGAAAATTAGAATATTGTGAAAAAGTTCAATATTCTAGGCTCAAAGTGTCCCACTCTAATCAGCTAATTAAGCCATAACACCTGCAAAGGGTTCCTGAGCCTTTAAATGGTCTCTCAGTCTGGTTCAGTAGGAATCACAATCATGGGAAAGACTGCTGACCTGACAGTTGTGCAGAAAACCATCATTGACACCCTCCATAAGGAGGGAAAGCCTCAAAAGGTAATTGCAAAAGAAGTTGGGTATTTCCAAAGTGCTGTATCAAAGCACATTAATAGAAAGTTATGTGGAAGGGAAAAGTGTGGAAGAAAAAGGTGCACAAGCAGCCGGGATGACCGCAGCCTGGAGGATTGTCAGGAAAAGGCCATTCAAAAGTGTTGGGGACTTTCACAAGGAGTGGACTGAAGCTGGAGTCAGTGCATCAAGAGCCACTACACACAGATGGATCCTGGACATGGGCTTCAAATGTTGTCAAGCCGCTCCTGAACAAACAACATCAGAAGCATCTTACCTGGGCTAAAGAAAAACAGAACCGGTCTGTTACTCAGTGGTCCAAAGTCCACTTTTCTGATGAGAGCAACTTTTGCATCTCATTTGGAAACCAAAGACCCAGAGTCTGGAGGAAGAATGGAGAGGCACACACTGCAAGATGCTTGAAGTCCAGTGTGAAGTTTCCAGTCTGTGTTGATTTGGGGAGTCATGTCATCTGCTGGTGTTGATCCACTGTGCATCATTAAGTCCACGGTCAACGCAGCCGTCTACCAGATGATTTTGGAGCACTTCATGCTTCCTTCCGCAGACAAGCTTTATGGGGATGCGGACTTCATTTTCCAGCAGGACTTGGCACCTGCCCACACTGCCAAAAGCACCAAAACCTGGTTCAATGACCGTGGGATTACTGCGCTTAATTGGCCAGCAAACTCGCCTGACCTGAACCCCATAGAGAATCTATGGGGCATTGCCAAGGGAAAGATGAGAGACATGAGACCAAACTGCAGAAGAGCTGAAGGCCGCTATTGAAGCATCCTGGTCTTCCATAACACCTCAGCAGTGCCACAGGCTGATAGCTTCCATGCCACGCCGCATTGAGGCAGTAATTGCTGCAGAAGGGGCCCAAACCAAGTACTGAGTACATATGCATGCTTATACTTTTCAGAGGTCCGATATTGTTCTATGTACAATCCTTGTTTTATTTGATTGCATGTAATATTCTAATTTTCTGAGATTGTGGATTTGGGGTTTTCATGAGCTGTAAGCCATAGTCATATCAATTATGACAAATCACAGCTTGAACTATCTTGCTTTGCATGTAATGAGTATATTAGTTTCACCTTTTAAGTTGCATTACTGAAATAAATGAACTTTTGCACGATATTCTAATTTTTCGAGTTTCACCTGTAACATAGGTTCTTGCTTAAGCAGAGAGCTAGACTAGAAGACCTCCAAGGTCCCTTCCAGCTCTGTTCTATAAAAGGTGAACTGGGCTGAGAAAGAGTGACTAGTTCAAAGTCACCAGCCAACTTTCTTGCCTAAGATGGAACTACAACTATCTCCATGTTTTTAGCCTGGTGCCTTTCTTAGAGAGCTGTTTCCAACTGCTTGATCAACTTTGTTGCCATTCTGTAAAGTTGTACTACTATGCTGAATAGTAGAAATATTTCTATAAGGCATGACATGATCAATGCAAAAGACAGAGTACCTCCCAGTGATTTGCCAATTATATCTGTATTAATGCAGTATAAAATTACAGTTCATTTGCATAAGTATAAGTAATGTTATACTTTTGACTGATTCAAATCCTTGTCAACCACAATTCCAAGCTTTATCCCATTCAATTTTGTGTTATGTATTTCACGGCTATTCTTTCACCTCATTAATAAAAATGTGAATGGAACAGAAAGCTACAACACACCACTCCCTATCTTCTTTCACTTTAACTAAGGAATGCGTTTCAAGAGTACCCACTATATCAAAGTCATAATTATGTATTTTACTAATCTAAGCTTCTGAGGTATTGTTAGATGTCATGCCCTGGATCAAAAGTGAGATAAGGTTAGCTTGGCAAGACTTGTTCTTGGCAAACCAATGCTGACCTGGCACGAGAAGTTTCTGGGCAATGCCCAGAATCCCTAGACAGTGCAGCTACTTGGTACAGCCTTCTCAAAGAGTCAACACATCAATACTTGTGATTTTTAAGGTTAACATTTAGAGGCATCGTTCCCTCGAGGGAAGGTAAGTGCAGAGGTAAACCATAGGAGAGAGCTGGTGTCCACATTCCTTCTTCGGCAGCATCGGGCAAGTAATCGTGGAGAGCAAACTCTGTAGCTAAGCAGACCCACCTTGAGTCCTGGTGGAACTTCCCTTCTCCCCTCAAACCGCGGCATGACTAAGACTAACTCGGTTATCAGCGCGCAAGGCGACGGCTGCGCTTTAACGCGCACCCTGAGTGGTACCGGTACATTTGCCTCAGCCAACCTCCCCACCCGAGCAGGCGACAGAGGGCACCAGGAGAAAACCCGAATTACAGACGTGCTTTCGGGGCCACGGAAGGCCTCCGTCCCGCCTGTGGCGCCCACCAGACGATACCCCAACACCCTTGGAACTCCAGAGAAGTTCCCGTTGAAGCCCCGCCCATTTCGCATCAGCCTCTTCTCCGGGTTCGCCCCAATGCCGTGGGAAGTATCCCCGAGTTCCATTGGTTCTGCGGCGGTGACAATTCAGGCCCCGAGGTTCGTCATTGGATCCCGGAAAGGAAAGAATGCGCGGCCCGATTATTTTCGTAGCTCTTCTGTCATTGGCTGCTTATATAGCGCGGATGCTTCTTTTCCACCGGAGGCGATTGGTCCCGATGTAGTGCTAGAAGGGAGGGCTCTGTGCGTTCACTTTCTCCTGATTGGATTTTCATCCCAGGCTGTTCGGCTCGGAGACCGTTCGGGTGTTCGGCTCGGCATCCACGGAAGACGCTTAGCAAGGCTGCGTAACTCGGCTTTGAGGGGAACGCGTGCGTAACACCGACGAGAGCGCAGCGGCTCTTTCCGAGTCCGGAGAAATGGGGCGGTCGGTTCCGTATTCCCGAAGACTAGTCCGTAGGGGCGCGTAAGCGGAGCAAGGAGTTAGAACCTTGAGGCCGTATCAACAGCAACCGAGAGAAAAAAAGCCGCAACGGCCCCGTGAGCGCGTAGCGGACAAAGGAACCCGATCGAAGGGGTGGCGGAGGCGGGGCCAAGCGAGACCCACCGCCAGCAACGTCGCAGCCGGCTGAGTCGGGAGGATCTGCCGCTTTCAGCAGCAGCACCACCACCACCATGGACCAGCCCGCCGTCCTCCAACTGCACTGCAGCGCCGCCCGCCTGAGCCACCTCTCCGGACGCGATTTGCCCGCCCCACGGGCGCTATGAGGAGAACTCCGGCGGCACTCGGCCCCCGCGTTGTCGAGCGAGAGACGGAGTGACGAGGCAGGTAGGCAGGAAGGAAGGAGCCCGCTCCTCAGGCCGCCCCTCCCCCGCGCCCTTCCTGCCCCCGCCGCCTCTCCTCACGGCCCCGGCGGTTTGGCCGCCAGTCTGTCAGATTCTTTTCGCCAGCGGACGCGCCATCCCTCGCGTCATATTCCTCCGCCGGGAAATAGTCCGTCCCTTCTCTGTCTCTCCCCAGCGCCCCCACCCCGAGGAGGGGGGAAAAAAAAACCCCACCTCTCCTGGCCGTCGCCTTCTCACGTGATTGACTCGCTAGCTAGGAAGGAAGGAAGGAAGGAAGGCGAGCGAGGAAGAAAGGCGTAGCATCGGAAAGCCGAGCGGTGCTGCTTCTCTTTCCTGCCTCTCACATCAGAAAGGGGCGGGGAGTGACTGGATTGTAGGGCTGGGCGGAGGCGGCCGCGAGCCCAGGCGCTGCTACTGCTACTAGGAATGAAGAGGATGGTGGCCTGCTTGCGATAAAGCGAAGCGGAAAAGGGGCTGGGAGAGACTAAAAAAGGGGGGGCGCCCTCCTTTCAGGGTGGGAGCCCCGATCTTTACACTCTGCTTTTCTTCTCTTCGCTGAGAGGACGAAACGGAGCAGAGAAAAGGAAGAGAAACCAGAGGAGGAGAAAGTCGGTCCGATAGGGAAGAAAAGCTAACAGCTAACAACCATGTCAGGGCGCCCGAGAACCACCTCCTTTGCAGAAAGCTGCAAACCGGTGCAGCAGCCTTCAGCCTTTGGCAGCATGAAAGTTAGCAGTGAGTATTGATTTCCATCCTCTGTCCTTTTTGCATCAACTCCCCCAAAAGGAAACATGTGGTTTTTACCTTTAAGAATATTTTATTTTTTTTGTTTCTGTACATTCAGAATTGTCAGATTTGTAAGGTCTTTTCGGCTTCCTTCTATTTTTCTCTCCACCCATTCCTTGATTAGGCCTATCCTATAGCTTCCATCTAGGGGAAAAAAGACTTCTTGCTTTCCAGTATATTTTATCTGTATTCCATGGTATTTTACTACAGGTTTTTAGTGTACAGAAGTGGCAATGGCATAATTCTGTACACATTTTGGGTACTTTTTAAAGACTGGATTTTGCAGAGATATCTGGAATTATGTATTTAGTTTATTTCATAAGATTTTAAATGATTAGGCAACAAATACATTATTTTATTTGCATTAGATTCTGTTTCATGTATGGTAAGTAAGAAGAAATGTTATATTATGAACAGTTTAAGGATTTTGCATTTAGAATAAAATTTTCATTTGGTGGTGCAATACTTTCCAAAGTTGAGGCCTGCGTTCTGCACATTTTTAGATGTCACTGTTTCATATTTGACATATAATTGAGATTTTGTGATGAAACAACTTTTCAGTGTATAAATCATGATGTCTATGGCACTGAATACTTTAGTAATACAACTTTATATAATTCTATTTTTCCTACTGTCAGAAAATTTTGGATAAAACATTTATTTTAAAGATATTGTGGTTATGGCTAGTTCTATTTCAAAGCAGTGACATGCAACAAAACTTTAAATAAGCTACTTCCTTTCTTTTGAGAGTGGCTCTCCAATGCAATGATTACCAACATACTTATAGATATTTTATTTCATTAAAATAAATGGCCTTAGTACTGGCTATTAAAGATTTCTGAAAAAAATTCAACTGAATAGTCTTCCCTTATTTTCTGATCTTATTTTTGTTTGAAGAGGCTGACCTGCAAAAAACTAAATATGTAACTGCAAGCCAGACAATCAATACACTAACATGTGTGATAGTCCTCTCTTTGTTTTTGAAGTTTCATGCAGTAGGCACAACATGTTTATGAACCCTCAGGTAAACTGTTGACTTGGTGAATTACTAGTTACACAGGTTTGAATTAAAGATTACCTTCTACCCAATCCTAATTTAAAATCTAGATTGTATTTCAGTTTTTTAAAAGCACTGCTAACAATTAGCTTGCTTGTATAAAAATCATACAATCTTTGATACCTTTAAATTGTAGAATATTGTATATTTTGGCAATTGTTCCATGTGATGAGAGCCTGTGAAGAATTACAATTTCTTTCTCAAAACTTGACATTCTACATCACGTTAATAGCATAGTATATCAGTTTTCAATTCTGAAAGTGTTCAACCAGTTTATTGATGGGAGAAAGTTAAACCTGACCAAAAAAAAAATGTAAACTTGTTCCTTTTTCTGTCAGTTATGATGGAGAAATGTGACATTGTTTTTTATGGTAATTTCATTTGAAATGACAGTTGCATGCCACACAACTTGTCTATTCAGAAACAGTGCCTATTGCCTTAAATTATAATCTGTGTAGTAGTTTATGCAGACTGTGAATGTAGTCAGAATCTGACCCTCAGTACTATATATAAGCCTTTCTTAGTCGAGAGATCTTTAGTCCTGAGGTGACTCATTAAGAAATTTCCCAGCCAAAATGGTAATTTTTGGGAATGCTAGATTTCAAATCGGTACATTTCAAGGGTGCTAAGATTGCCCCTTGGATAATCATATGCCTGAATTTATAATTTTCAACAAGTCAGGTTTTTTTAATGTTAATATTGTATCTGATTTGCATCCAAAACTAAGCCATAATGGATAAATTCATTTTTCATGCTGAAGCCAAAATCAAACAAGTCATACTGTGACATAATACTTTGGTTAACATACTGCTTTTAAACATGTTTGAATTAAATACGAGTTGGTCACATCCAGAGAAGTCCAAGATTGTGATACTGCAGTTACAGCAATGCAGTTCAGCCCATTAAAAAAGGGAGTTTACAAAAACCTGTGCAACGAAACAGGTGTGTTATTAGAATAGTGCTCTTATTTTTAATACCATCTAAGGAAAAAGAACCTCAAGGAGGGATTTTTGCACAATCTTTAGTGATTATTACACACCTTATAGCATTTGGAGATGGAAAATATCAAATGTGGCACTTGGTCATAAAAAAGATTGGCCGTTCTTTAACTGGTTACAATAATAAAAACAGTTTTGATAAAGCTATATCAAGGTTCATGTTTCCTTATGGAATTAATTTGGATCAGGATATGTATACAGGATATTTTCAGGAAGTAATCGAGGTGGAAGCGGATATTTAATTTTCTCCAACAGCTCTGGCTGTTTTGTGGTGAAATAGAGATATTTTTCTCCTGCCTCACTTTATTTTTTAATAATTCTTTAATAATGAATACATTTTCTGGCATAACTTGCAGTTTTTATTTTTAAGCAACCAAGTATTTTAATTCTGAATTGTGATGAAGCAAAGGATCTGAATCTAAATTTGTTTTCAGTATTTAGAATTTTGTAAAACTATATTAACATTAATTGCTCTTAATAATGAAGGAAATTATTTAGCATTTAAATATTTAAGTATGTTGTCCAATATTATACATACCTGCCCGTTATGCTGTTTCTTTCATAAACATAAAATATTGCCAGAAAAAATGAAAGTTTATTAACAGTAGGGCTATTTAAAAACATGTTCAGTGAGAAATATCAATATAATTCCTGATTGAAATATTAATAAATTTAAATATAAATAATACATTTGAAATCACCACACTTGATAAGTAAATATGTGCATCATCATTTCTCATTTATGAGAAATGGAAGAATGCCAACTGGAGTTTGTATATTCACAGATCTTAAGATAAATAAAATATGTTGTCCAATTAGTCTATGATGCTGTTTTATTCAGTGTTTTTTTAATTGATTAGTGAAACAGATGCATCCACTAAATCTTACACATATAATGTAATATTTTGATGTAAAGGTTTGCATGTGTTGAATCTTTTGGTATAGAATAGAATCAGACAGTTTTACTCTAAAGGCAGTGATGCTTTAGACCAGGGGTCCCAACCCCAAGGCTAAATTTTAGCAGATTTAAACATCAACAGCATGACCTAGCTCCAGTATATGTGCAAATAAAAATTGCCTACCGCTTGCATGGACTGATTCCCAATGGGTCATGGACAGATATCAATACATAAAGTTTGCATCCTTTTCCGATATGTTAGAGCAGGGGTCCTCAATCCTTGACCCGCAGTACCAGTCTGTGGCCTGTTGGGAACCAATCTGCAAAGTGATGGGCAAGCTTCATTTGCACATATGCGGGAGCTAGGTTGCACGCATGAAACTATCCCTGTTGCTGCTGCTGTTCTATGGAGCAAGAGAGATTGGGAACCACCACTTTAGACTATTAATCCTTAGCTCTGCTTAATGTAGTTTTAGTCCAGAAAATGGAGACTTCCCTAGCTTGGGCGCTAGCAATGGCAGTTTCAGTAAGGGAATTCTGGAGATGGAAATGTGTCTTGAGTTGGAGAAGTATTAGATTGGTTATCTTGATCTCGACTTCATTTATTTTGCATTTTAAACAATTGTGTTATATCCTTTAATACTTTTAAAAAGATCTGGGATAATTAAATTTATATATACACATACGCACAAACGCATGCCCCCCCACACATTTCTCAACTTGAGGTCATGCTGTTGATGTTTAAATCTGCCAGAATCCATTGTGCATTTTACAGTTAGCATATGAACTCAGTTGATTTGGAGTGTGAAATAGTTATGCACTAATGGTTTCACAGTCAGATAAATGGAGTATCTCAGGTTTTAGCTGAAATGAGGAGAATTCACTTTTGAAATAAATGTTTTAATTCATATGTGGCATAATTCTTATATATTTAATAATCATTGGCTTATTGATGAAGCATAGCATGATTCAAACTTTCACTTATATTTCAAGTTATATGAGGTTGGTGCTCTCTGAGAAATGGACCATTTTGGTATCATTTATTTATCAATTTTCTTGTTATACCCATGTTTCCCCCCAAATAGCACCAGGTCTTATTTTGTTTTTGGTCCCAAAATAAGCACTAGGACTTATTTTCAGAGGTGTCTTAATTTTTTTCCATGTATGGGAGGCCCACTTCTTCTATTTGCTCATGGCGGAGCAGGAGGCTTCACAGTGCACCAGTGCCATTGTCACGAGGTGGGGTGGAGCCTACCCCATGGGCCCTGCATTGGCTTCCATCAGGGCCCCCGCAGCCAGGTCACCCATGCCCTGACACTTGCCTCACCTCATAGTGGTAGCAATTCTGGCATGCTGCTTGTCCTCCTGCTCCTTAGCAGCCGTGAGCAGAAGAAGCAGGCTGGCAGCTACACGGGCTCCCGCTGCACATGGCTGTTGGTGCTGTCACTGCGTGGCCGGTGTCGTGCGTGGATGGCCTGGATGTGGGCACTCAGAGGTAAACTGGTGCAGGATACATGGGGCAGCTCCACCTCACCGCCTCGCCTCATGGCTGCAGCACTGCGACCAACCAGATGGAATGTATGGCTGGGTGGCTGCGCAGGCTCTTAAATAGGGTTTATTTGGGGGGTACGGCTCATATTAGCTGCGTGCATAAAACATGCTTATTTTTGCGGAAACGGTAGATTTAATTTATTTTAATCTCACCTTTATTATTTCTATAAATAAGGTGATGAATATGCCTAATACTCCTTCTATTTTCCCCAACCAACAATCCTGTGAGGTAGGATTGGGCTGAGAAACAGCGACTGGCTCAAAGACACCCAGCTAGCTTTCATGCCCAAGGTAGGACTAGAACTCATTGTCTCCATGTTCCTAGCCTGGTGTTTAAGAGAGCCAGGCTGGCTCTCTTTTTGGATATGCTTTTTGCTATCCATCTTTTACTATGTCTTTGTTTTCAATTTGTTTTTGAGATTGTTCTGTGTGTAAAGTTGATGTA